GAGGCGGGTGAGGCCTGGAATTCCTTCTCTGGCTCCATGTTTCCTTTCTGGGGAAGGCTGGATAAATGGAATTGTGTCCCGGACTCAACCCCCCTCTCCCGTAAGGGTTACCGGCAGATCAAGCCACCATCCATTTTTTCCATCAGGATGTCCTCCATGGATTTCCGTTTATGGAACCTCAAAACAGTGGCGATCGTGTCAAAGTGGGGAAGCCCAGTGAACCCCGCCCCGCCCCCCGCCCAAACACCCCCCCCTGAAAAAGACGAAAAAAGACCCCCCCCCCACCAAAAAAAAAAAGAAATGAACGAATGAAGAGCATGAAAAAAAATACCATGGATGACCATGGTGGTCCTGGCGTTCCTTAGCCACCACCTGGTGCTTCTTTTTTGATGGTCCAAGGCACCACCACCTGGTGGAAATGGTGGGCCACCTCAGCCGGCTGGCGCTCTTGGGGCCTCCGGCCTGGCTTGCTGCGGCGCTCTTTGCCGTCGCCGGGGTCGGCGGGGAGTGGGCTGCCTGGGGCGAGCTTTGCCTCAAGGCGGGGGTGGGGGTGGGGAGCGGAGGGGTTTTCGGGGGGCGGGGGGGGGGGCTGGGAGGTGGAGGGCTGGGAGGTGGAGGGCTGGGAGGGGTAGTTGTTTTGTGGTTTCCACTTGAGGAGGAGGGTTAACAGGGCCATCGCTCTATGATTCGAACATGTCAAGGGAAAAGGTGTAGCCCTAAGTAATCTTTATGCAGGTGGCATCAAGTCCCTGCCTGACAACAGGGGAGTAGGGGATTTGATTCTTGAACAGGGGACCCCGAAAGGTAAGTTTCGGTTTCCCTTAAAACCATCTTTGAAAGATTTAGCTCTATGGCCACCTTTCGATACACCAACGGCGCTGCCTTTGCAGTGAAGGTGGTCATTCGGATGGCAAAAGGGGAGTGGGGGACGGGACTCTTGCAAAAAGAGGATACCCCCGAAAGATGGGGTTTTAGCTCCTTTTTTTTTCATGGCCCAGTTTAGTGCAGAAAGGCCGGAGTCCCGCGAAGGAACACCAAGAGGCAGCACCGTGCGAGTGACGCCGATCGAGGCCTCGTTGGGCTACTTTGCGCTGGCGCTGCTGCAGCACCCGCTCCACTGGCGGCTTGGATGGCCGCCTTTGTTTTGGTGGAGGGACCCTGCTGTGGATGCGCGCCACCTAAGAAACTTTGGTTTATGTTGATTCCCCTGTGAATACCAACATATAATGCTGTCTCGTAGTTGCCTGGGTGGTGCGAAATGGATGTCGTCCATCCACAGTATCACTTCGATCCAGTATCAGCCAACCCTTAGATTGGATCAGTTTAGTTTGGAACATGCTTCTTTTTTGCCTTTTTGGGTGATGCTTATCAGGTGTCTCCCATCCGACCTCTCCCTGGACATTTTCCCTTTGGTTCAGGTCTCCCCTGCAACATCCCCGAAGGGTCGCCCAAAGGGCGGCAGCACGCAGCACCTCGAAGCCGTACACATCTTCAAATCAAAGCGAATCGACCGGCCTTGTTTTTTGCAACTCTGGGGTCCCATTCTTCGCAGGGTCCCCAAAAGGTGATCACCTTTCGCCTCCTTTGGGCCAGTGGGTCTGACCTTCCATGCGTCTCCGACTTTTCCGGCACCGGAAAGCCTGAAGGAGCCCTATCCTACCGACCAAGGAGCTGGCCCCGAAAACCGCCCTAAACCCGAGTCGGTGGAGAGGGGAGGTGGGCGTGGGAGAAAATCCACAAGCCTAGAAGCACAACAATGCCTGGTTTGGCTTTCAATCAAAACAGGATCCCCCCCCACCCCCCCGAACAGATATTGGGCTTCCCTCGGGTTCCCTAAAAAGCCACTGCCCCCCCCCCAAAAAAAAGAAGACGATCAGCCTAATTGTCCTTTGGTTTCCCTAAAAACCACCTCAACCCCCCCCCCAAAGAAACAAATGTAAGAAGGAAAGAAGGGAAACACACAAACAAATGATTCCCTCAACAAACAGACCAACAAAGCTTTGGTCCATCCGAGGCTGCTGGCGCGCGCCATCTTAGGCTACGACCTCCGCTGGGGCGAGCTCACCTTCGAAGCGGCCGAGCGCCGCTTCGCCACCTTCGTCTGCGAACGTGACGGCGATGGCGAGCGCGACGGCGAGCGCATGCTGCAGGGGGTGCTCTGCGTCCGCGAGGACGGGGGCTTAGCGAAAATCTCTGTGGTTACGAGCTGAACCGTTTGAGACCACACCTTTACACCTTTACCCTTGACCAAAGCTCGAAGCAAGGAGACACACAATCAACACAATCAGGCTGACCAAACTGAGAACCAACGAACAGAACGAACATCAGAACAGCTATTTTTAGGGTTTCCAACAACACCTCCACCCCACCTTCCCCTTCCCCCCCCTCCCCCTCCCCCCCCCAACCGCCCCCCCCCCTCCTCCCCCCCTCCCTCCCCCACCTGCCCCCCTCTCCCCGCAGGACCCCCCGCCCCGCGCCGCGCCGCGCGGCGCCTCCGCCTCCGCCTCGCTGTGGCACGCGGCGGTGCGGCCGGCGGCGCGGAACCGGGGCGCGGCTTTGGCGCTGCTGCGGGCCGCGGAGGGCTGGGCTCAAGGCGCGGAGCGCGGCGCGCGGCAGATGGGGGCCGGAGCCGCTGAAGCAGGGTGAGGGAATTTGAGGGGGTCGGTGAGCCAGCTGGGACGTTTTTGGGTTCTCCTTTTTTGTTGTGTTTTTTTGTCATCGCATGTTTTTTCTCCAATTTCTTTCTTTTGTTTCCTTTAAGGGGACTGGGTGTCCCACATTTCCTGAGAGCAAGAATCGCCGAATCGCAAGCCGGGGCTGAGATGGCCAAAGTGAAGTTCAACCGGATCCGGCGTTAAACGGTTTTCCCTCTTTGCGGTTCCCACTTTCCATAAAGGCCCAAAAAGGTGATGACCGTTGATTTCTGTGTTCAGTGGGTTTGGGAGTTTGAATCTGTTCCTCTGGAAAGCAACCCCAAAGGTGAACCCAGAGAAATACTGTGGACGAACTCCATTTCGCGCCTAAGAAACCCTGGTGTCTGTTGATCCCCCTGTAAATGCCAAGAAACGTTCTGGTGTCAACCATGGTTGCTCGGGTGGTGCCTAAGAGGATTTCGCAACCATCCACAGGTCCCCGGGAAGCCCCAAAAAGAGGGGACCCCCCCAAAGAGTGGCCCCGTCCCCGTCAGGCCGGGGCCTGAAGCGCGTGGAGGCGGTGTGCCTCAACGCGGCGGCCAAGGCGGTCGGGGGTCGGTGAAAAACGCCCCCCATGTGCCTCTGAATGCACCAGGGCTCCTTAAAAAGATCTCCATTTTGCAACCATTTGAAGCATGTGGCTTTTTCAACACCAAGATGAAAGGACACCCCCCATGTACAAGTTGCAATGTTCGATCGGTGTATTTCAAGGATCTCTGTGCACTCCCGGCGAACATGGAAGCTCCCAGGCATGAAGGCAAATGGAGCAAGTCTTCCCAAGGCCCTCTGAAAGCTCGGGATGGCTCTCCCAAAACAGTGCAAATGACCAAAGCCCAGCAACTCGAGGGGTCGGCTTCCTTTGGTTTACTTCCATTTTCCGAAGTCTCCTGGGGAAGAAATCACATCTCTAGCGGTGATAGGTGCTTTCTTGAGCCAACAGCGAAACAAATGAAAAAGGCGCGCCCCCAGACCCGCCTAAGGGTGCCCTCATTTTGAGAAACCCCCCATTCTTGGGGTGGGGAGGTGAAGGAACCTCCGCAATGCGGCAGACAGAAAGGCTTCGGGGGGCGGGGGAGGTGCGAAGACTTTGTTTCTGCTGCTGCCAGGGTACACACTAGTATATGTATACACACACACACACGGCACACACACACACAACACTTATATACATCTATGTCTATATATATATATACATATACATATATATATATATATGCATACATATATGTATACATCACATATGGTGTTCTTGGCCTGTTTCGGCCCCCCAGTTTTCGCCAAGGAGTTCTTCCCAGATACTTGCAAGTAATTGGTCGTGTTGGGGAAGTCTTTTCTGGTGTTTGCGCCTGCCCTTCATGGTTGTTGTTGGGACACATGTTGCGTGTTTGCTTATTGTGGTTTCGTGGTTGGCATCCCCACTTAGCTGCCAAAATTTCAACTGTTTGCTCCCCTTCCAGCGTCAACCAGCCTTGGCCCAGAGCCAAACCCCCCAAAAAAGTTCGAGGCGGCCTGCTGGAACATGGGCCTGGAGCTTACGAACCCCCGGTTCGGGCGCTTGCCCATGCTGCCGGCCTTCTTCGCCAGGGAGATTCCCTCCGGCGGGAAAAAGCTCGAACGCTCCGCCTGGCACGCGTGCGGTCGGACCTGCGAGCACCAGATTCCCAGCCCTTTTGTGATGAGGTGGGCCCCTTGAAGAAAAAAACAACAACAACAAAAACAAAAAGCAGTACACTTGTATCAGCATGGCCACTGGGGTCTGGAGGACACCATGGTGATCAACCGGGGTAACTGGGGCAACTGGCCCTGTCGTGACCTACCTACGTAGCTTGAACACCCAAGCCACCCCCACGGGTGTGTCTTGCTTGAAAATGTTGTTTTTGTGACTTCAAGGGACAGCACGCAATTCCAAGCGGGCATACCCTTCGAGGTGCGCCCTTCCCTTGGCAATAGCACATGTCCCCTGAAGCCCCCCGGAGAGGGACGCGCACGCGGTCGGGCGTGCTGCTTTTTGATCTCTGAGGCAGCTTGGTCGTCCAGCAAGTCGGCATCGCGGCCGGGACTCCCGGGCGATGGAAAAGCGGAATTCGCGTGGCTCGATGGCGCGCGTGGTGGGATTAAAAGCAGGGGGTTTGGTTATCCAGTTTTGGGGCCGTTTCCTAGTTCAGTCGCGGGTGGTGTGGGTTGAGTGAGGGAGGGAAAGTGGATCCATTTGTTGGGGGCCGTATCCCAGTTCAGACACGCCCCATGTTGAGGTGGAGGTTCGGGAGGAGTGAAGTCGGCCCAGAAACAGCTTAGGGTCCAGAGGGCAGAGGGCCCCCCTGGTTAGGGTCTGCAAAATTAGTTCTAAAAGAAAAAACATCATTTGACAAGTTGAGCATCTGATTCTACGTGTTTTCCAAACCAAGCCCGGAAATTATACAGGACACCCCCTGGTCTTGCTATGTCTTGCTGGCTCCTTGGACATCCAACTCCCAGAGCTCCTTTCTTCGTAGCTGGGAGGCTGGAGCCGGAGCCGGCGGAAGCGGCGGCGGAGGCGGCCAGGCGCGCGTATCGAAGCGCGCGGGACGTACGTCATACAAAACGAAGCCGTGGTAGAGACTCTGTGCCATCCACTTCCAATTTGCTTAAGCGAATGTTTTTTAAAAGAAAACGATCACTACTGGAAGTATGTCTCTTTTTTTCAGGTGACTTGAGCAACTGAAGGTCCACGTTCGAAGGGAATCGGCGTGTGACTTTGTGGTTCTCCCTTCCTGGGGTGATCCCCAAGGTGCAAGTGAGTCAAGGATAAAATATTGTCAGCTCGCTTGCAACCAAAGCGAACAGACAGGATCTGGCCTAGCCGGTTTAAGTCATGGGCCGCTAAAAAGAGACAGACCACCTTTACTCTTCCTGGGCCCTTTGGGCAACTGAGAACCCGAAGGCCCCCTAGGGGCTGAATGGGGTTCACGCAGCCTTCGGTGGAAGGGAGCCAAGGACCTGTGAGGGTAGAGGGGCTGGTAGCTCTTCCAGCACCCCCCCCCCCAAGAAAGTTCACCTTTTTGCGCGTCCCAACGCCTGGGCCCCGGGCATCCTTCCAAGTGTGCTGGGCTTTTCTTTGTTTTTGAGCGGTGAAGTCATCTCAGAATGGGTGAATCCATCTTGGATATGGCTGGGGTTGCCAAGAATAGGGTAACCCCAAAATGGGTTGCCCCGGCAAGTGGAGCATGGACCAAAACCTGCGGTCCACTTCCTGCTTTACGCCACTACTTGGATGTTCAACCAGCTTAGGTTACGACCATGTGCCCTCTGAGGGCACTAACCCCAGATACTTCAGTCAAAAGCGTGATTGCAATCTACTTTCCTTGAAGGAAACCCGGTTGCTGCTGTAGGGACGGGCCAGGAGATGTTTCGGTAAACCGAAACAGAAGCTGCTGACCTGACGGGTGGAACATCCGGCTAGGGAAAGCTGGGCTGGGGCCAGGACTTAAGTCTTCAGCTTTACCGCCTCTCAGCTGGCCAAGACTTGCTGGGCCTTTGCCAAGCTTGGCCCGGGCCCGGTGGGGGGTGGGGGGGTAGTGGGGCAGAGCCAATGGTGTGCTCTTTTTTTGAGGGCGCTTTTCTGAAAGGGAAACCAAAGGACAGCAAGGACAGCGGCATTCTTGTTGGGGTCCACAACAAAAGCACACACACACACCCATGTGCATGTGGGTGTTTCCGTCTTTAGGTAGTCGCAGGGCGCACAGAGAAATGGGCGCAGCAGAGACTCCTAGGTGTGCTTCAAAACCGGAGCCCAGAGGGTGACCAATCTTTTTCTAGGAGTTGATTCCTGGTCCATTCTTTTCGACCATCGTTCTTTTCAAAAATCAGGTGTTTTGCCTGAGGTTCTGGAGGTTTCTGGAAAGAAGTTCGGATCCCTGGAAAGAATGGAAATGGAAGGTACCCCCAGAATCTCGAGCAAAGCTGTGGCCTTGATGATCGAAATTTGCCAGGGTTTTGAGTCCGAGTTGCGGGGGAGGGGGGGGGAGGGGCTTGTTTGGGAGTGGGCGAATTGATGTTTATCAACCAAGCATTCTTGAACGTAGACAAGGATGCAAATGAGCTTGGTGTAAATGATTCTCACTTAAATAATAATGATATCATTGAAATTAAGTAACATTGTTCAAAGTCAACATCATTATATTTTGCATAGGGTGCCAAATGGGTGTGTCTTTTTGAGGGGACCCCCCAAAATGGTGTTTGTTCTTTTCGTTTCCCGTTACCTCACCAAAACAAGGATTCTCGACTTTGCACGGGGCTCGGCTCGTGGATTGCTTGCCTGACTCAAACTTGCGCCGCGCTGGCTTGAAGCAATTGGCGGTTCCACAT